CAAAGCAAAAATACAAAGTATACCATGTCAGCATGTACGCGAAACAAAGGAAGGGATGATAAAAACAGCTAAATAAAAACTTCACATTGCAAAGTAATCTAGAAAAACCTTGACTGCCCCACCAATCCAATACTTCTGAGTTGATTCACAAGGTTTATTAATGAAAAACTCTCCAGTCTTTGAGTCATATGTCGTTACTGTTTCAATTCCTCGAACCTAAAAGCAGTAGCTCAAGAATAAATCAGCAAGAAGAAGAAGACTGCATTAGGGATGGCAAATGGACGGGTCGGGTGCGGATACCCTCTTCCCATCCCCATGCCCAACTAATATTTTTCAATCCACCACTCGCCCACCACCCATGATGGGTACAAATTTTTAAATCCAAACCCGCCCACGCGGATACATTCTCAAATCCATCCCCACACCCACTACTCACTAGCGACGTACCCGTCTAGACCCGCCTGACAGCAAACTTAAGTTATACATAAGCAACAAAAATTAAAAAAAATATGTTCATTAAGAAACATAATAAAATAATCCAAGGATTATCTAAGTTAAGTGTTAATATAGATCTTAAAATACATAAAACACCATAATAAAGGACATAATTAAAGTCTAGAAACATAAATGACAAACACATAATGTTTTTGTTCTTTGGCACAACATTCTAAAATTCCAGGCAATATTTGTGACATATAATACTCCAGTATTACAATCATCATTCTTTATTTCCTCCAACTGAGAGCGCTTCAATTTAAATTCACTACTACCTACATATATAATAGAAAGTAAAACTAATATAAGTTAGTAACTAAACTTTAATAAGATAATTAAGCACAATTTGACAAAATATAAACTAAATAATAATATTACCTTTAATATCGGCCCAAAGCCAATTTTAAGCATACATTAATGCTTCAATCGTCTTCGAAAGTAGTCGACTACGATAAGGACCAATTACTCTTCCACCTATACTAAATGCAGATTTTGATGGGACAGTGGAGACAGGAATGCCCAAAATATCATTTGCTATTTGTTGGAGAGTTGGATAAATTACATGTTATATCTTATACAATATTAGAATTTATAAATTAGTCTCTAAAATTACACCTAAATTCATAATGGTCCAAAATTTAATAGATATTTAGCTAGGTGGGCGGATGTGGGGCGGGCGGATGCGGGGCGGGTAATGTCTCAAACCCATTACCCGCCCACCACCCGCGACGGGTACCACTTTCTAAATCCACTACCCGCTAAAATTATACCCATCCCCGCTCCAATTGAAACGGATACGGTGCGAAATCTACGAAACTGTACCCGTTTGCCATCCCTTAACTGCATGAATATCAGGAAAAGAAAAGGGCCAGATTCTCCTTACTAAAGGATCAGACAACCTTTACGTACCTTGCTTCCATGGCCCAACTCAGATATTGAAAAGCAACCTGACCTTGAAATTTTCAGTGTTCCTCAGCCACTTGTCATGGTGGTGCTTTGTACCAACAAATTTGATAGCACCACCCTCGCATACATTATGGCAAGAGTTAAATGACACAACAAAGGAAAACCAAATTGCACTCAGATTGAATTTAAGATTTATTGTCAAATAAGATCGAAAGAATCGTTCTTATTACATCATAAATTTGATTGATATAATATTTGATACTTATAATTACGTGTGATTGTATATAACTTAAAGTCTATCTCAATTTCCAATTCCACCCAACCACAATTTCTTTCAAACAAATATAATTAAATATAACTTGTAAAATATCCGCTTTTTATTATTATTATTATTATATATATATATCATTTTCTAAAACTATTTATTAAAATAACATCTAAAAATTTTATCGAATAATATTCATTTATATCACATATGGTATCAATCGTGTCTTTTAATAGATGTATTTGATTATGCGTGCCGTTATTCTACGTGAGATCTTAGTCAACAACACAATAAATTTTAACTAGAAGCGATTAATGAGTTGAGTAGTTCGTGAGATGCACGAACTCGACTCGGTTAAAATTTAGTCAATGTTCGATTCGAGTTGATTTGAGATCTTAACGAGTTGATTTGAACAAGGTCTAACTCGACTCGATAGGTTTGTGAGCAGTTTGATAATTATTTTTATATTTTTTAGTAGTTACTTTAAAAATTATTTCATTCAAAAAAAGTCTGAATAATAATTATTAATTTACTAATATATATTAGGAAATATGGTAAATTACCAATTAATAATTACTACTAATTTATTAATCTATTAATTTATTACTGTAGTGTATTTGTGGATTGTTACCTTAGAGTTTATATTTTGAAATTGCTTGATACACACTTTTGATAATTTTTTATTTAAATTTGTTATTTTATATTTATATTAAATTTTATATAGTATTAGTAGATTTTACTCATAGTTAAAAAATATGGTAAAAATTATGGTGAGCATAACAACCAACCAGTTGAGTCGAATAAATTTTAACGAGCTTAACAAGTAACAAGTTGAGTCGAGCAACAAAATTTTTTAATGAGCATGAGTCGAGGACTACCTAACTCACCACCGACTCGCTCAGTAAGCACCCCTAATTCTAATATATCAAAATTGACTTTAAAAGAAGGGTAATTTTACGGTACAATAAAATAATTTAAGATTAAAAAAACAGTGAAAATAGACGCTACAGAAAATATTATAAAAAATATAATATTTAAAGTTAATATTTTGACTAAATCTAAAATATTATTTTCTTCGTATATTTTCTTTTAAAAATGAGAAACAGAAACGAGGGGAGATACGCACCACAATAAGAAGTGAACTCCAAGCTTAATGTAAATGGAATGATCGAAGAGGCCCAAAACCTCAAAGCAAGCCTACTTCTTCATCTCAACATCTTCTCCTTCCTCCGTCATCCATCCTTTGAAAACCCCTCTATCCAACAAATACTCGATGCGTTTCCAAGTCATCTCCCGCTGCTGCTCCATCGATTGGTTATAGTCCGCGACACAAACACCTTCCCTCCCCTCACTCTCGGGTTGAACAACTTGCTCTGTATTATCAATCCGAACAGCCGATCCCGTTCCTCCGCATCGTGCCCGTCAATCAGCTTCCGCATCTCATTGACGTTGAAAACGTATTTCTCGGAAAATTCGGGCGGGAGGTAGTTAAAACAGCCGTTTGAAGTAAGACAAGCGGTCTGAGCAGGCGAAGATAGGAGGAGGTGATTGGTTAAGATTCTGATTCGCCGAAAAGCTCGATCCATTGCCGAATTAGTGATTTTTTCTTCGATTCTCTGTTTTTCTTTGTGTTGTTGGGATATGATAATTTACGTACAAACTATCTTCAAAATATATATATATATATATATATATATATATATATATATATATATATATGAGATAAGATCTTGTTACATAATATAATTTTTTTTAATTTTATACAGATTTTATTAATAAAGATACGAAGTATAGTAGGAGAACCTAAAAAAAATTAACGAGATTTTAGACTGATATAATACGTGATAACAAGTTAACAACTTATATATGTCATGATTTCAGATAAAAGATAAGAATCAATCCATGTAATCGATGCTCATTGGTTAGATCAAATCAAGTTTTTTAATTGATATAAATTAATTTTAAATATTATATTTTTATTTAACACTCAAATTGATTTGAATTCAACGAAATTTAATTTAATGTGAAATTCAATTTATATTTTAGAGTTAAAACCTACACTTTACTTGATATGAAAATTTTCATTTATATTAAAATAAAAATTAATTAAAAAGTTATTATGATAATTATATTTAAAAATGTAAATAATAATTATAATATTATTTAAGATTAGGTTGAGTCAATAATTTTTTTAGTATAAACTTGAATTTAATTTTATCATTCACACGATTCGATTCAATTTTACTTATATCTGTTTTTTTTTTTTAAATGATTAGATCATATCAAATAAAAATAGGTTGATTCAGGATAAAAACCTCTCATAATTGTGGTTGAGTTTATTTTTAATAATCTAAATGATTATAAAATTATATATATTTAAATAATTTTTAATCTATTAATAACATGTTTTACTACGTTATTCAAACTCATGACTTTAAAAATGATTAATATTTTCTTTTACTTTTAAGACCATCGATCTTGAGAGTTTATAATTATAGTCGGGTAACACGTGTTTGAGTGTCGGCTAAATAACAAGTTGGGCAAATATTAAAATTACACGGCTTAACTATTTATTGATTTTTTATTAAAATTTATTAATCATTAATTACAAGTGGAACTATTCATTAAATATTTATTAAAAGTACCCGAACCAAGCAATATCAATGGTAAAGAGATTGTTTTTTTATATCTCGGTTCAAGTACTATGAATACTAGAGATATGAACATTAAATATTAATTGATTGAGAGTTATGTTGAATATATACTACTTTTTTTTAAAAGAACATATATTACTACTATGTACTTATCTCAAATTAATAAAAAATATTTATTATAGGTTTTTTAATTACTAATTTTATGCCTAACTATTTATTAATATTTAATTAAGACAATTACCAAACACGTCATCTTCTATAATTATAAAGAACACGTAATTTAATGAAACCCATTGGTTAAAATAATGGTCAAGCCCATACTTTTGTATAATTACAAATAATTTAATAAAATATCAACTTTAAATAATATAAAAATATCTTAGTTTTTTTTTACAATAACTAACTCTCAAACCCAATTTATCTTTATTCTTATTATTAATGCAGACCGATTAAATTATCTTTTTAAATAATAATTTTAACTTTTGTAAAGTTGATTTATAGATATTTGATCATACCTAATTTAAAATAAATATACGCATACTCTTAAAGAAAATAAGTTTTCAATCTAAAAATAATTTCCACAACTATTTTAAGTCTTAATCACAACAGCCATAGATCCAACGAGGTATATAGTTTATGCATTATTTGTTATAGATAGAGTTTGAAATGAAATGAGTTTTGGGTGCTTTCAAATTCTTACAGGATGCCATAAACTTGCACTCTGGGCCGCTCTCTGTTCTTTTAAGTCAGTTACATAAGATTTATTTTTGAGTTACATTAAAGTGCTTATAAATGAACGAACCTTTGTTTAGGTGCAGTTGGTAAGAACACCACCACCCTATCAATGCTGAACCGAAGACCAGGAGTTGGCATCAACCCAGTTAAAAGCTATAGGGCTGAGAAAGGCATCTGGAATGCCCAAGGAACTGACTAAAGCAAGTGCATGTGGTCGAACTTCACTGCACAGTTTTGTTATTTCTTTCCTCACTGCTGCAGCATTCTCCACTGATAGGCACCCATATCGCAGATACGCAATATCTTCCAGACAATCTAATGCATACAATGATCTCACCTTTCCCAGCACATCCTGCAGAAGAAGAAAATATGACAATGAATACTCAACAATGTTCGTTTCGCTAAACTAGACCCGATTATCGAGCAGATAGTAATGCTAGATTTACCTTCAGAGAACCAGCAGCTAGAGTTGCTTCTGCTTCGATAAATGTTAAAAATATTGCTCGGTCTGAAAAGGCTTTCCCCAAGTCCTCTGCTACCTGATAACTCTGTTGTGGATAATGATGCGAGTATTAGACTACAAGGAGGGGAAAAAATAGCTACTTTAGATAAAAGCAGGTGCTTCTTTACCATATTGAAGGCCTGCTCTTTACTTTCTCCCTTGGCTAGACATTGTGAGACATCCGCAACGAAACGATTCAAAAGCTCTCTCTCCCTTAAGCACAAGGCATCCATCTGACACGGGACAATAGTCGGCGATACTTTAATACGGCACTAAAATAATAGCACAATTGATGCTAGTCTTATAATTTACCTGAAATTGGCTGCATCTGAGGGTAGTGCTAGTAAGCTGTGATGGAATGACAGGGCAGGGTTTAATCATGTGTTCTAAACCCAGACCCTTGAAAACCTTGTTTCGCTTCTGGGCCATCACATATTCAGCAAAGAGAGCTTTGCTGACCTGAATTAACATGACAGGGCAGGATTTAGTTTTAAGCTGTAACCCATTGTCCTTGTCAAAGAAAATGTCAGAAAAGAAGAAAGCAAAATTTTACCTGCTGCATCAAAATATTGTTGTCCCCCTCAAAAGTGGATTGCACATCATGCTCGGCTTTCAGATGACCAACACGATTCTCAGTCTTTAATCCTTGTCCTCCACAAGCTTCACGACATTCCTAAATCAATCAGCGATTGAATGTCTATAATGACACTTATTGTTGGAATGATCAACTTAATCCAAAATTGTTTGTAATCTCACCTGAAGTATTTGCATGTTACTCCATGTAAAAGTAGCCTTGAATGAACTTGAAACCACATGAATGGTTTTGTTTGATTGGGGTGTCCTCTTAACATACAGCATTTTCAAGTAATTTGCACCAAAGCTCATAGCATAACTGCAGCATAAAACAGCAGATAATCGAATAAAGGGATCGTTTACTAAAATCGGCAGCTGAAACTAAATCATCAATGGTCCCATCGCAGTCCAAGTAATTGAAATACAGGTCTGCAATAACTTCATGCCAATGTAAACATCCAAGACCAAAGCTCATTAGCTATAACTTGGAATAAATTAGCTATTAACATAGATGCTAAGTTCTTATAGTTGACTAGGTTGACACTCCAAGTCGAAATACAATGATAAGGTGTTTGTATCCAGGACCAAATCCTGTGATTATTCATCAAATGTGCAGATGATATGCGTATCCGAAAAAACAACATCAAAATATTCATGTAGTACCCCAAAAAATAACCCTCTCTTGATTATCTAAAGTTCTAAACCATAGAGCTACACTCTTGAGTGCATTGGTATCAGCTTGAACCAGAAAGAAATGAAAAGGAATACATATTTGATATTTCATAAGATAAACTGTACAAATACTTACATCTTTGCAAGGAGAGGCAAGAGTCGTCGTTGATGACTTGGGTAATCAAGCAATAAGACCTCGGGCTCGTTCGGCTTAAGAGAAAAAGCCCGCCTTGTTAGAGCATACCTGATTGCAATAGATAAACCGACCTGAAAGGAGAGTAATGACATGATATCAGTGACCTTTATATTTGATATTACAGGCCTGCCACCCACACCTCAAAATACAAATGCAAATCTTATCCACCAATAAAATGAGATCAAATACTTGAAAAGAAAAATGAGGTATACCTTTGACTGGTAAACTGCATTAACCGCAATATTAACACGACCTGCTGTCAGAGGGGACAGGAATGCGGCAAATCTCTGAATTGAAGTAACAGAAATGCAAGAGAAACCAACAAAGTGTCACGGTTAAACAAGGATACTGTTGTACAAAAATGCACGGCTCTACAAGCAGATACCAGTCAACTCAAATTATAAGTACCTGATCTGGGTCTTTTATTGAGCTTAGATATTTTCCATCAGGTGAAACATCAGCAACTGAGTTTAATAAGTTCTCTCTGGGCACTCGGACATTGTCAAACCTGAAATCACATAAGCAAACCTTTTATATTAGAATTTTTTCTAGGAAAAGACTAAAGAATCGATAGTAGAAGTATAAGTTTATAATACCAGATTCGACCATTATCGACGCCATTTAAACCAATTTTATGACCACAGTCGGCAATGCGAATGTTTGGACATACATTACCATCAGCATCTCTGATTTGGGCTATAAGTGCATGAACCCCTTCATTGATTCCATTGATATTGAGCTGTGAAAACACAATCGTGTGTGTTGCATGCTAGACAACAAAGCAATAGTACAAGTATACCACATCAGCATATACGCAAAACAGAGGAAAGGATGATAGAACAGATAAATAAAAACTTCATATTGCAAAGTAATCTAAAAATAGACTGTATGTAGAGAAATGGTATTTGGTTCCAAGTCAAATATACCTTGGCTGCCCCACCAATCCAAAACTTCTGAGCTGATTCACAAGGTGTATTAATGACAAACTCCCCAGTCTTTGAGTCATATGTTGTTACTGTTTCAATTCCACGAACCTAAAAGCAATAACTCTAGAATAAATCAAGAAAAAAGAAGACTGCATAAATATCAGAAGAAAAAAAAGGGCTGATTCTCCTTACTAGAGGATCAGATAACCTCTACATACATTACTTCCATGCCCCAACTCAGTCATTGAAAAGCAACCTTTGACCTTGAAATTTTCAGTGTCCCTAAGCCACTTGTCATGGTGGTGCTTTGTACCAAAAAATTGGATGGCACCACCCCTGCAAACATTATGAAAATAGTAGCATTCAGTTCCAAATTTCAAACTTCGATACGCAAAGACTTTGTTGATTTGTTTCTTCTTATACTTGAATCTTTTACTATTTGATTTTCTGTTCCCCGTTGCAAGAAGGTAAAATGTGGTTCAATCAAAATAAAAAAATTAAAAATCAATCAAAACAATGCATCTTGTGTTGTATATTACAAAATAGATTAATGCAACCATGGAAAATGATGAAGAAATGAACATAAGTCTAATGAAGACACTTCAAGGAACCTACTCTTACGTGAAAAAGGACTCTTGGAAACATATTTACTATTATAAAATGACACTCCAAAGGAAAACCAAATTGCACCCAAGCTTTTCTTGAACACACTTAACCAAAACTATATTTAAGTTGTTGAATATAAGTGGTAGTTAAATTCAGAATGAAGGTATTATACTAAAAAGGGAAAATAATTTTGGAACACTTCATGATGAGGTAATACAAAATTTTGTTGCTCAAGGATTATCAAAATTTTAATCGTAACTCTTTTCCATGTATCAAATCAAATCTATTTTTACACCTGAAAGCTAAAGTAAGGGAAAGTGATGCTTAACACTGTTTGGATTGAAGCAAGGCAAAGGGCCCGTCAGAATTCAGATAACCCATTAAAATGTTCAATTAAAATAATTTTTTGCATACAAAATATTTTATAAAAAATATATAATCTTATAACATTGTTATAACTAATCATTTCCTACCCTTTTCATAGTTTATAATAACCTTATACCGTATATAGATAAATAATTTTTGTTTGAATAGTTAAGTAAAGTACATGATTTATGTAATTTTTGTTTGAATAGTTAAAATTAACAATGAAAAGGAAAGTAGATTAATCTAATGAAAGTAAAAAAAAAAAAGAGGAAGGAAATGTTACGAAAAGTGAATTATGTATGTAACTTTTGTTTGGATTGTTAAAATTAATAAATTGAATTTAACACCTAATGCCAATTAAATTAAAATAATGTATCTTATCTTATCAATACATCATAGATTTAATTGACATAATATTTTTTAGTTATAGAATTCATAAAGTGGACCTAGTGACAGAAGTGAATATTATTGTCTTATGAAATTTTAAATTTTTAGATTTGAGTAGTTACGTTTGCAAGTTGAGAAAATTATGAACATATATTATCTTGCAATCACTCAAACTAACGAAACAAAAATATTTTTAGTTATATATTTTTTATAAAATAATTTATGTAAAAGATGTAAGGAATAAAAAGAATCGCATTTTAAAAACTATGGTTTTCTTTCCTTAGCTTAAAATTTTGAATTTAAAAGCAAGGAATATTCAACTTCATTTCCTTTCCTTTGCTCAATTTTTTTTAAAAATATATCCAAAAAATGAAAAAGTTCTGAGTTTATTTCCTTTCCTTATCTTGTTTTACTACAATCCAAAGACCATATTCAAACAAGATAATTATCATACTTTCCTTTCTTCCAAACATAGTGTAAAGGAAATCTGTAACACTAACGGCTGCGTTTGATTGTATATAACTTGAAACCTATATCAATTTCCAACTCCACCCGACCACTTGTATTAATAATGAAAAAGATCAAATTGTATAGTTCAAACAACAGTCCAATAAGTTCCAAGATATTAAATTAACCTTAAAAATAAGGGGGAGGGGAAGAAGAAGATAACGCACCACAAGAAGAAGTGAACTCCAAGCTTAATTGAAATGGAATGATCGAAGAGGCCCAAAACCTCAAAGCAAGCGAACCTCTTCATCTCAACATCTTCTCCTTCCCCCGTCATCCATCCTTTGAACACCCCTCTCTCCAACAAATACTCGATGCGTTTCCACGTCATCTCCCGCTGCTGCTCCATCGACTGGTTATAGTCCGGCAACACAAACACCTTCCCTCCCCTCACTCTCGGGTTGAACAACTTGCTCTGTATTATCAATCCGAACAGCCGATCCCGCTCCTCCACATCGTGCCCGTCCATTAGCTTCCGCATCTCATTGACGTCGAACGCGTATTTCTCGGAAAGTTCAGGCGGCGAGTAGTTGAAACAGTCGTTCGAAGTAAGACAAGCGGTCTGAGCCGGCGAAGATAGGAGGAGGTGATTGGTTAAGATTCTGGTTCGCTGAAAAGCTCGATCCATTTCCGAGTTAGTGACTTCTTCTTCGTTTCTCTGTGTTTTTCTTTTTGTTCTTGGGATTGGCAGAGAAAATTTGGAAGAACAATACGACGAATGATCGTTGAGAAAGCAAGCGATTCCTTAAGAACGGGGGATCTGATAATTTACGCGCTAAAGGTGGAGTTAAAAACGCGCGAGTGGTTATTTAGCACATTGAAGCACTCGCGTTCTGATTGGATGCAAGTTGTGGTTGAGTAATAGAATCACATCATCAACCAACTTTAGCGTATGACTAAAACGCTATAACAAGAAAAATATTAAATATTACTATTTTTCAAGTTATTATTATTCATATACAAATTGTTTCGTTACTCTATTTATAATTATTTATCTAATACATAAATTGTATTTCACTTACATTAGAGTAAAAACACGAAAATTTCTTTAAAAGAATAGGTGTAATACACGGACGACCATTGAACTTTTACTATTTTTTACTTTTTTCATTGAGTGTTTAAAACTTATTCGGTAGATAAAAAAACCTCAATAAAAAATTGGTATCATGATAAAATTTATCTCCAATATTTATTTATTTATTATTTATTTTTAGTATTTTAACTCTTTAACGTCTCATTTAATCAAAATGATTTCTGTTTAGATAAAATTATTAATTGACTAAAAATTAATATATGTTATTAATATAATATTTTTTAACATATCATATTTCACGTCATTTAAAGTGATTATACGATATATATCATATCATTCAAAAAAAGTTATAATATATCTTACGTTAAGATAATAATGTGATACTTAAAAACTTAATTTTAAACCAAAATAAAATTAAATATACACCGTGACCTTACCCGTATTTTTGTCAGCTTTCAGGTACTTATATGTAAATTCGGGTCGAAGTTCCAAACTATGAATAAATAAAAACTAGTTAAAACAGAACACGGAAACCTAACGTAATACGACAAACGCATCTTTGCCGAGTCTAGTATACCGTGTACGTCCTCTTTGCTGCGCTTATTCTATTTCACATCAAAATGGAGAATTTTCAAATGTGGCAGTATAATATATTATTAAAGAAATATGATATTGAATTTTTTTTTTAATATTGTGGTAAAAAATTATTTAAAAAATTATTATTATTTTTTACTGGAAATATTATTATTGGATGCTATATCGAGTTTGTTAATATATTTAGTAAAGCGTTACCTAAAACATTATTTTTTTTCTATCAAAAATGTTAATATTAGGCACTTTACCGGAAATATTAAAAACACTAATGTTTTAGGTAAAAAATAATGTTTTAAGGAATTTTTTTACCAGAAATATTAAAAAATTATAACATTTCCGATAGCGTATTTCCTTAATCATATTAAGGTTGTCTTACAGCATAACTTCCCTACCAAAAATCCATAAGCTCTACATTGATTAATATTATTCAAATTTTTCTCATTAATTTACTAGGTATATTTTAAGTAAAATTTGTATATTTAGTCATCTATCCGATTGTATTTTTAAATTTGTAGAGTTAATTATATCATATATCCTCAAAGTATGATTCTCAATTTAAATTGGTCTCTAAACTTTTAAATATTCCAATTTCACTCCTAAACTACGACTATCATTCTAAATTTATCCTCAAAATTTGGAACATGTCAATTTCATCCCAAACTATGAAATGACCATTAAGCTCAGTTGGTATAGCACAAGGTTCTTAACCTTGAGGTCGTGGGATCGAGTCCCATGGAGGGCATTTCATAATTCGGAGGTCTCCTACGGAAGCTGCTCTCAACCTAGTGTTGGGGGCAACCTACTATTTTACCTCCCCCTTACCCCATTACATATGAGAACAAGGGACAACCATTTTAATTTCATCCCAAACTATATGTATAAACTAATCACATCCCTTGTTAATAAAATCGTTACGCCAAGTTATATTATTATATGTTTGAAAAAAATAAAATTTAAGTTAAATTGTGGTTAAAAATAATTACATATTTTGATAAATATGGGGATGATATTGTAATATTAAAAATTTCGGGGACCATTTACAAAGAGGGTCATAACTTAGGGATGAAATTAGAATGTTTAAAAGTTTAAGGATTAATTTAGAATGAGAGTCATAGTTTGGGGATGAAATTGAAATATATAGAATTTTATGGATCAATTTAAAATTGAGGTTATAATTTGGGGACATATGATGTAATTTACTCAAATTTATATATCGAATGTATTATTTAAAATTTAAAATGTCTTACCATCATTTATTTCATTTTTTAATGTTTTAAATTTAATTTGATCATCGTATATTGTTAAAAACATTTTGATATTTCGATATAACAAATTAAGTTAAATGAATTTTAAGATTTTCCAAAAGATTTTCTAAGTATATTCGATATAATTATTCGAATATCAAAATATTACTCCAAATCTTTCAAATGTCATTTTTAATCCTTACTCAAGTGTAAAATTAAGTTTTAATCTTAAAATAATTTCAAAACAATTTTACAAAGTATTTTTGAATCGTTTCAAAGCCATAAATTCCAGATTGTCCAGAGGGAACCGATCCCCCCAATGGGGTACCGATTCCCCTGATCAACGGTCGAAATATTTGAATTTTACACTTAGGGAACCGATTCCCTATGAGGGGGTACCAATTCCCCCCACGCTCCAAGCTGTTTTATTAATTGATTTCACACCTAAACGGCTCCATTGACTCCACTAATCATCCCCAACGTTCAGAATCAATTGAAGGAGTATTTAAACAAGCTTAGAAGCCATTGATTAAAAACAAGAATCAAGAGAGAATCAAAGAGAAAACATCAAACCTCAAGTTTGAGCATTTTCAAGCCTATTTCATTCAATATTCGTTTTTGCTTTCAAGAACACTTATTGTGCTCAATTATATTATTCTTGAGTGTTCTTTCTTTGTTCTAGAATTGTGCAAACATCTTGCCTTGTGAGGATTTTCTTGTAAGTTTGCAAAATTTGTATTGTTCTCTTTGGGAGAGAGTGTTCTCAAGAATTTGGGGTATAATTCTTGAGGGATTTGTAAGGTTACTTTTTGTCCTCAAAAGAAAGACAAATTAGTGAATTTGTGGAAAATCCTTAGTGTGGATAGCTAAGGTAGTGGACGTAGACTTTGGTTGAGAAAGTCAAACCACTCTAAATCGCTGCGCAATTACTTTCAATTTTCTTCAAAGCTTCTACCGAAATTTTTATTTACCAATTCACCCCCTCTTGGCCAATTCCATCAATCGATTAACTCAATAATTGGTATCATAGTCTCACTCATTTGAAGGTGTAATCACATCTTGAGTCGATTCGGGAAGAGTTACATCGATTTTCAAAGTCATCAATGGTCGGCACTTCAAACTCCGACTTGGGTCTCGATTCATTGCCCGTTAACAAGCCTCATTTCTTCAATGGAGCTAATTATGCTTATTGGAAGAATAAGATGATGTATTTCATTCAAGCAAGTGACATGGGAGCATGGAATATCATAGAATATGTATACATCAAACCCTCCACTCACCTGAGGTTGTGGAGTGAAGGAGATACAAGAATGTTCCAGCTCAACTCCAAAGCTATCCATATTATCTTTTGTGCTCTTGGACCAGATGAATACGGGAGAGTTTCATCTTGGACAATCGCCAAGGAGATATGGGACAAACTACAAGTCACTCACGAAGGCACAAATGAGGTAAAAGAATCTAAAATTAGTCTTCTAACTCATAGCTATGAAAATTTCAGGATGAAACCGGATGAAGATGTCAAAGCTATGACGGATAGATTCTCAACGATTGTCAATAGTCTCAAATCATATGGAGAAATCATTCCAAATGACAAGCTTATGAGGAAGTTAGTTTACTCTCTTCCAAAAGCTTGGCAATCAAAGAAGACGGCGATCATCGAGGCTAAGAATTTGAAATCCTTGACCCTCGATGAACTTATTGGCTCTCTCCTCACGCATGAAATGATGCTTAAAGAAGAGGAAGATCTTGAGTGTAACACCCCCAACCCGTATCCGAGTCTGAGGTGTCACATTGACTTTTCAAAACTATGTTCTTTACAAATCCACTAAAATCTTAATTCCATAATTTAAGAAAATGAGTATTTTACATTAATAATTACAATCAAATTGTTTCTTTAAAACTATCAGAGCATATTCAATTTAAAATCTTGTAATTACATGCCAACTGACTTTATAAACAAAATACATATGTTCAATATGTTTCTGATCTGATCCTCGTAAGGAAAATACTGACATGTCTTGCTTCTCGTTATTCCACTCTCGCTTCTCATACCTACATGTGAAACAATCACACGCTAAGTCGCTGACTTAGTGAGGCATAAAACATATAATAAAACTCTAACTCAAAATCATACTTGAACAATTTCTACTAACATATCACATACAAGCATTTCACCCACATATACATATACTAATTCCTACTATGCACATTTCATATATTCATCTATAAAATAATTATCCATATGCGTACATATCATCCTTCACTTCATAACTTTATCATCTTATTATCATACTTTCACATACGTACACATCATTTTACCAAACAAACATATAGTATCACATAGCATTTTTCTCATATTATATCCTTTATTTTAGACCATGCATACATGTGAGAACTGTAGATATATGAGTCTATTGAGGTTGTGCACTATGCTATCACCACAACTCTTATGGGGTCCCACTAGAGGCTATGAAATTTTGTCCCGAATGACCTATGTATTGTATTTGTCCTGAAGGACCACTCCTTAAGAACCATATATATATTCCAGTGGATCAAAGCTGTCTCAAAAGACCCTGTAAATGTTCCAAATGATACATATATGTCCCAAATGACCACGTAGAACCCTCGACTCTTGGCATGCCAACTATACCTCTAGCTCTCTCTACACATAACATGGGCATTAGCAATCTATCATGTCACATATTCACATGTACATATCACTGTTCATATGATTTCATATTCATATGTCACTTATCTTATAACACTTCTCATGTGTTCATATAACATGTATATCATTTTCATCTCTTGTTCATATATGTTCTTGTATATCATATATATCACATATG